GTATATGTATATCCTGCTAATGAACTTTTAATGAACTTTAGTTCAACATTAAATCTCTGATGAAGCAGATTTTACAAAAACATCTATATTTAAATTATTATACCTTCATGTATTTGCAGTCATTGTGTCTACTTTTATTCTTCAATTAAGATAGGTGGTTTTCTTTATTGTTTACAGATTTTTTTAAATTATTTTTAGCTTTGCTTTAAAGTTTAATTCTTGTTTTGTACATCTGCGTGTTAGAATAAAGTTGAACTTCCTGTCCTGTTCCTGAAATGCTGTCCTTTAAACATCCATCCATTATCTTTACCTGCTTATTCCATTTTGGGTCACGGGGGTCGCCGGTGCCCATGTCCAGCAATCACACTGCGAGGGGCGGGGTACACACTAGACAGGTGCAAGTCCATCACAGGGCCACATAGAGACAAACAAGACAAACAACCATTCACTCTCTCACTCACACCTAGGGACAATTTAGAGTTACCAATCAGCCTAAAATGCATGTTTTTGGTCTGTGGGAAGAAACTGGAGCACCTGGAGAAAACCCACACATGCACGCAGAGAACATGCAAACTCCACCCAGAAAGGCCCCTGGACCGGGGTTTGAACCAAGGACCTGCTCACTGAGAGGCAGCAGCTCTACCGGTTGTGCCACCGTGCTGCCTTTCCTTTAAACATGTTTGAGGGAAATATTCCTGAGAAATCCAATAATTTTGTGTCTGATTTTTCAGCTGAGTTAACTTTAACAGATTATTTATGTCATTAAACTAAAAACAGGATTTCATGATAAAGCCAACACCGTTTATAAATTTTTAAAATCTTCACTCATAAAAAAATATACATTACATAAAATATCTTGATGCATGCTCAATAATCCAGGTAGAAAAATCTAAAAAAGTTAAATCTGGTCCTCTGGACATTCAAAAAAACAAAACAAAGCAAAACAACAAAAAAATGTAGAAACGTTTCGTCTCTCATCCGAGACTCATCCGAGTCATCCGATAGAGAGGAACGATGATTTGAGAGAGGAGTAAAGGAGGCCATCTTTGTGAAAAGAAATCGTCCATCGTTAAACAGGGGTGGAGGCCTATGTGTTCAATTGTCCCCCTCTTACAATGCTGTGATTGCTAGTATCACTCAGCCCTCTGTGAATAGTAAACAGCCATCAGGTGCTAATGATCCATTGTTAGGCTGATGGTCCTTCTTGAGCATGTGATCAGCTGGTTTTGGTTGTCAGCAGCAAAACTGGTTGATCCACTCTGAGAAGGTACTATTTAAGAGACTGAGCTGAATGCAGCACCTCAGACTGAGGAAGGCTCTCGGATGAGAGACGAAACATTTCTACATTTTTTTGTTGTTTTGCTTTTTTTTTTTTTTTGAATGTCCAGAGGACTAGATTTAACTTTTTTAGATTACATAAAATGTTTTTAAAAATTGTTTCCACCCTCCGTGCACCAGACCCGTCTTCTGGGATCGGGGTTTGGCCTTCATGAGCATGCAAGGCCTGGATCCCGAGCCCCGAGTCGGCATTAGACCAAGGTGTTGTCATTATTGTTTTTAAAATCTTTAAAATAGGTCCAGCCACTGCTGGATTCATAATTTGATTAATTAAAGAATCTAGATTCCTAGTCCTGGCAATTATGAATCGATTCTAAAAGCCCCCAAAATTGATTTTAAAATGCATTTAAGTTGTATTTTTTTCAATTCCTACTCCCAAGTGCAGTGCATATCACATTACGTTTATACCTGTCACTGTAGAATTTGGCCGTGTAGGCCACCGTACAGCAACCCAGCTCCCTTTATCTGAATGGAGCCTGCTAGCATGGAGCTGGAGGACAGCATGATTCAACCCGTTCCTTCATCAATAAAAGTCATTTTGGATCCTACTTTGTACAATGTTCCAGGGAAGACATAGCTTGACAAGAGCACAGTTGTTTGCAAGAAGTGTCAAATAAAATTATGGTACAGTATTTTGGAAATATGACAAATGCAGGGAAGGAAGATGAAAGTGAAGCAGCCGACCAGCAAACTGAGCAAACTTCCAGCTAATTCTCCAAGAGCTGTGAAAATTTCCCTCTCCATCTCCTGCACAAAGGATTTACGAGCATACACCTCAGTCAAAGGTGAGGGATTCAGGTTTATTTTTAATACGCTGGACCCAACAAAACATTATTCCTTCACGTACAATTTTTTGTGGAAAAGCTCCGCCACTACTCCACCATGAAACAGAATAAAGCGGGAGAAGCTGATGCTTCCAGCTTCAGCTCAAAACCGTATTTTCCGCCATACTTGTCACACCACCCTATAAGTCGCATCAGTCCATATTTGTCTAATAAAATGGAAAAATCCATAAATATGTCACTTCGCTGTATACGTCGCATCTATTATGCGTCACCGCTGAAAACCCGGAAATGTGGGCCGGTGTTATGCCAAAAATCGTTTGGCTGCCAAATGGCGGCCGCAGGAGCGTGCACGGGAGGACTTTAACAAGAATTTAACAAGATTAACACTTAAAAACAATTATTTGTTTGCTCAAAATTATAGTAAATGTGTGTCTCAGTCTAATGTTTGCTTAATAAATGCACTTTGATGGTCAAATCAGCTACATTTTGCCGAGGTGGTGCAGCCGTTTTGACGGTTCCAAGCAACGAGCAGAATGAAGGTGGGGGAGACTATGGCAGGCCGACTGAATCATTAATAGCTGGTGAAAATTCTCAGTCAGGACATGGTAAATTCAAAAAAGTTCAAGAAAAAAACAATAAAGTATAATAAATAAA